CATTGTTGGATTTGCTTTGCTAATATTTTGTTGAGGAATTTTGCATCTTATTTCCTGAGATACTGGCCTGTAGTTTTCTTTTTTGGGGTAATATCTTTGTTTGGTTTTGGTATTAGGGTAATATTGGCCTCACAAAGTGAGTTGAGAAGTATTTTCTTCTTTTCTATTTTCAGAAGAGTGTGTAAACTTGCTGTAATTCTTCCTTAAATGTTTGGTAGAATTCTCCAGTGAAACCATCTTGGCCTGGAAATTTTTTCTAAAAGATTTCTTTTTTTGCCTCTTGTTTTTTAAACTACAGACGAAATTTGTAGGAATAGCCATGTTACCTATTTTTTATATCGATTGAGTTTGGTAGTTTGTGTTTTTAAAGGGATTGGTCCATTTCATCAAAGTTGTTGGCCTTATGTGCATACTATATTCAGAGTATTCCTTTATTATCCTCTTACTGTCTATGATGGTATCTCCTCCTTCATTCCTGTATTAGAAAATTTGCATTTTCTCTCTTTTCTTTTTTGCCCATATTGCTAGAGGTTCATCAATTTTTTTGATCCCAAAGAACCAGATTTTGGTTTTAGAAATTTTCCCCTTTTTTATTTTTAGTTTCATTGATTTCTGCACTAATATTTATTATTTCTTTCCTTCTGCATGCTTTGGGTTGATTTTGCTCTTCTTTCTGTTTTTCTCTCTGTTCTTTATTGATCTGTCTTCAAGTTTGCTGATCCTTTCTTTCATAAATTTTCATTTTAGATATAGTATTTTTCAGATTTAGATTTCCCATTTAAAAAAAATTTCCTTTTTCCCTTGGAGTCCTCATATGGGCAATCATTATGACTATATTTTCATTTAAGTCCTTGGATATATTTAGCTTCATTGCTTTATAGTCTTTTATGCTTTATAGTCTTGTAACATCTCTGTTATCTTGGGGTTTTTCTATTGATTGCTTTTTGTCCCCCTTGACTGTGGGTTCCGTTTTCCTGTTTCTTTGCAAGTTCTTTAATTTTTGACTGTATGTTGACACTGTGGATGATCTATTTTAGGGAATTGGATTCTGCTATCTTCCTTTGAAGAATGTTCACATTTGTGCTGCCAGGAAGTTAAATTACTAGCCGATCACGTTGTATTTGTGATGTCTTGATACTATACTTTATTATGGACTGGTCTGTTTCAGTTTTGCCCTTAGTCTTAGGGCAAATCCTTTGTCCTGGTACATAACACTTATTCCTAAGCTGTGGTCCTTCAGGGTTTTAGTGAAAAGCCTCTAATTTGGCAGGATTTAAATGACAAACTCTGTCTGCTTTGTGGTAGGCAGCAGATAAAATCTCTGTTCAGCTTTTTTAGGCTTCCACCAGCAAATGACAGAAAGCTCAACTGCACTGGCTTAAACCTATAGGACTTTATTTTTCTTAGAAAAACAAGAAGTGCAGAGATGGGTGGCTGCTGGTATTGGAATCAGTGGCTCAATCATTTCATAGCTGGGTAGCTGTCATTTTTCTGGTTTTTCTTCTTCATTGCAAGGTGACTGCTGTACCTCCAGTCATCTCATTAATATTTAAGACAGGAAGAAGTAAGAAGAGAAGGTGCCAGCAATGTTTATTGGGAAAGCTTTTGTTTTCCCACAAACTCCCTAGCATGGTTCTGCCTGACTGTCTCTGGCCAAATCAGGAATGCACGGTCACCCTAAGTTGCAAGGCAACTGGGATGGTGGAGAACAGAATTTCACAATTGGCTGAGACCAATTAGCATCTTTAGGTTGTTTTTTTTTTTTTTTTGAGATGGGGTCTCACTATGTTGCCCAGGCTAGACTTGAACTCCTGGGCTCAAGTGATCCTCCTCTCTCAGCCTCCTAAGTAGTGGGCTACAGGCATGAGCCACCAGGCCTCGCTAGGTTACTATTTTGATACATAATTATTTGGTTGTCAGTCTAAGGCATTCATTTTTTTTTTTTTTTTTTTTTTAAACAGAGTCTCACTCTTTTGCCCGGGCTAGAGTGAGTGCCGTGGCGTCAGCCTAGCTCACAGCAACCTCAAACTCCTGGGCTCAAGCGATCCTTCTCCCTCAGCCTCCTGAGTAGCTGGGACTACAGGCATGCGCCACCATGCCCAGCTAATTTTTTCTATGTATTTTTAGTTGTCCGATTAATTTCTTTCTATTTTTAGTAGAAACGGGATCTCGCTCTTGCTCAGGCTGGTTTCGAACTCCTGAGCTCAAACAATCCACCCGCCTCGGCCTCCCAGAGTGCTAGGATTACAGGCGTGAGCCACCGCGCCCGGCCTGAGGCATTCATTTTTAATTGACTTGTAAATAATGATGAAAATAATAAATGTATTTGAACTAATTTCAACTAATATGAAACCAAATAAAGTAGAAAGATAAATTCTGTCCTCCTTTTACTCCCAGAATTAACTACTATTAAAAGTGTATGTCATTTTATATGAATATATAGACATAGATATATAACCATATACCACACCTGGATATAGACATACACGAGGTTTCTCTGTTCACAAATGGGGGATCAAACTATATATATTGTTCTGAAACTTGCTTTATTCATGTGACATATCATGGGCACATTTCCATGTTGTGACGTATTTTGAATGCAAATATTTATATTACATCACATTTTAAACTATATTCTTTTAAAAATTTATTATATCAATGTATTGGTATTTAATGCATTGATATAAAATATTACATTAATCTGCAAATATTTTATACACACATAGATACAAAATAGCACCTGTGTATCTACTGCCCTTCTTAAAGGAACATTATTAAAGTCATTGAAGAACTCTACGTATCTTTTCCCAGTCTCATTTCCTTTAGTACTCTCTGAGGTAACTACCATCCTGAATTTTATGCTGTGAGTTATCATTTATGACATTAAATGATACTCTCTTTTTTAAGTTTCTATGAAAATTTGGGTGTCACAGTGACTGTGAATGTTCACAGTGTTGCTGTGAACATTCTTATGTGTGACTTATGCTACTCACACAAAAGTTCCGACTGCATTCCTCAGATAGAATTGCTAGGTCATAAGAGCAAATATGCATGTTCCATATTATTGAACAATACGATATTGTTTTCTAGAGTGATTGTTCCAATTCACTGTATTTTAGAAGACTATTTTATTAGCACCAAGTGACTGAAAAGGAGTACATGATTCTAACCTAATTAATCGTTAGAAAATTTATTAGCTTACAAAAATGTGATCTATAGAAAACTTTTCAGACAGTAGTTACTACCTGTATTACCTTTTCTTTTTAATGGCATAGCATTTGCATATACCTGTATTACTTTTTACTAACCACTTGTGATTGAAACCTTGCAAAATAATTTGCTAATATTTTTATTATGACTTCATTATATTGTATTGTATTTGGTTCATGTGTGCTACTTAACATTACTCCAGTAAGAACAACAATGAAACATATTTTAATCTGTTTATACAGTTATGCTTTGTCTGGCAAAATTACTTCCTGATTGTTACATGTATATGTGACCACTTAGTGTCTTCCGGACAATTTTTTTTTAAATACAATGTGTTCTAGCTGATGGTGTCTACAACACTGCCATCTCATGCCCACAAGCATTAGTACAGGTGTGAGTGTGAGGTGGATACCAGGACTATGAATAGCTGACAGATTTTATTCAATATATTTTATCTGAATTCTATTTAATATTAAACGTCTATGAAATATGAATAATAGTATAAATTAACTCTAGTCATTCACATTTATTGTACTTGAATTTCTTTTCCTTTTGAAATAAATTCTCAATTACCATTGACACTTAGATACAAACATATGGTGTTTAACATCTTATTTCCCATTGGGTGCTGTGACTCACCCCTGCAGTACTAGCACTTTGGGAGGCTGAGGCTGGAGGATCACTTGAGGCCAGGAGTTTGAGACCAGCCTTGGCAATGTAGACAGACCCCTTCTCTAAAAATAATAATAATAATAAAAACTTGTTTCCTTTATTATACTTATTTCAAAATTACTAGAAAATATATTGAGGTTCTTGATTAGATTATTTCAGATCCCTTATTTTGCCCTCCCTCCCTTTCATTAATTTTGGAATATTTTTACCTCATTATTTAAAAACATCAGAATTCATCCTCTACATCCATCATCAGAAGCATCTCTGGTAGACCTGGGAGAAATTAAACTGGGTGTCCCAAACCTGCAACCATTTTCGTACTAATAAAATCTGGGAATATTGACCTTCAAAGGCACATCCAATCAAAGAGCGTCAGGATTTTTGTTACTGGATAGAGTTGTGTTTTGAGGGTTTTCTAGCTAACGGTTAGGGCTGCTGCGACCAAGTGTTCTACCCCAGCACTTGCATCCTCTGTGCTTGGGTGACCAGCTTAGAGGGAGGCTGGAGCGCGGACTGTAAGCATCTGAGGTTTCAGGCTGTGTTTTAGGGTGGACCACAATGCCTGGCTCCAGCCAGCTGCGCGCAGAGGTAAATGCTTGGGGGCAACACCCCTTATTTGCTGTAGTCAACATAAAAGGAACTGGGCGAATGATACCTAGAAGAAAATTTTTAAAAAAGAAAGAAAAAGGAGCAAAGACACATTTTGTCACTCATGCTTTTCTGTATTTTAGCTGCGATTATACGCAGTTTTTGAAGTTCTTTTGGGACCTACGTTCCTACACGAGCATAAAGCCAAACGTGGATTTCAGAAAAGGGCCCCAAGGGGCTTTCATTAATTGCAAAATCAGGGCAGAGGTCCCTTCCTGTTTCTTCACGTACCCCTATCCCAAGTGGTGGTGGCAGTGCGGAGCGGCTTGTGAAGATCGGGGCGCTCTTTCGTTCCTCCTGTGCAAAGTGGAGGCGCTGCAGGTTGCGGCTTTGCGGGAAAGCTCGCACCGCGACGTACCTCTGGGTCCGCAGGCCTGGAGCCCCCGGAGGGGGGAGGGGCTGGCCCAGGGAGCCCCTCCCCTGGGGGCGGGGCCAAGGCTTCCTCCCAACCCGGCTTTGCAGAGCGGAGATCTGGTGTCTCCAGTTTGGAAAAGCACATGCAAAACTGATCGGAAGCCATCCCACTTATCAGCAGATCTCCTACGAGTGTTTGGTAAAGGCTCTGCCTGTCTGCACAGGTCGCCTCTCTCGGGACTCCGGGCCTGAACGGCGGAGCCAGCCCGGGCCCCTGCAGCCCAAAGGTTACGGCCGCGGGAGCCCTGGAGGCGGCGGCGGCCCAGGAAGGAGCTGCAGCGCCGGGTAAGTCCCGGCATGTCCTTTCCCTGTGCCCAACTTTCTGATTTACCGGTCTTGCCTTTTCCTTATCCAGGGCCTCTCTGATTTTATATTTATTTTTCTTGATCGGGATAGGTAAATTATTTCCTGAGCTTTCAAGACTTTCTTTTCATTAATTTGATTTTAGGTAGCTTCACTTGTCCTACCCAACAGCTGCCTGTTACCAAACAGCGTGAACGAATGATGCAATCCTGCGTAGAAGAATCATCAGTGCGAGATTAGGAAAATCCTCGAAATTTAGAGTTGCAAGTGTCTGACTTTGTCATCTTCTTTCCCATTAGAATTAGAATTTTAAATAAGTACTTACCAGATAAATTGTTATAAAGATACAACTTCAAGTTGGGAATTAAATAAATAATTATTTCATTCATTAAACTTGTTTACTATATTTTCTATTAAAAATCTTTAT